GGCCACGTACGCGGACGAAGTGCGCGAGTTTGCCGAGAAGCTCGTGCCCAACCACAACATTATCACGGTCAAGAAGGAGAAGCTGTCGCTCGACGGCATCAAGCAGTTTTGGATCGACTGCAAGTCGCAGGCGCACAAGTACGACGTGCTCTCGGACCTCTTCGGGCTCCTCAACGTCGGCAAGAGCGTCATTTTCGTGCAGTCGCGCGAGACGGCCAAGAAGCTCACGGCGAGCATGCGCGAGAAGGGTCACTCGTGCGGCATCCTGCACGGCGCCGACATGGCGTTGGAGGTCCGCGACAAGGTGCTTGACGAGTTCCGCCTCGGCACGACCAAAGTGCTCATCACGACCAACGTGCTTGCGCGCGGCATCGACGTGCTCGGTGTCTCGCTCGTCGTCAACTTTGATATTCCCGTCAACCGCGACAACCAGCCGGTTCGATGCATGGTGCGATCTCGGAGGCATCATCTGCTTGTGGTAGGACCCGGAGACGTATCTGCACCGCATTGGGCGCACGGGCCGCTTTGGCCGTAAGGGCGCGGCCATCAACTTCGTCCATGACAACAAGTCGAAGCGTGACCTGGCCGAGATTGAAAACTACTACGAGAAGGAGATCGTCATGGCGCCGGCCGACGACCTCGAAGCGCTCGAGAAGCTGCTTTCGTGGACGTAAAACGTGCGCCCGTCGGACAAGAGACAACACGATGATTTTGTGCTTGATTTAAATCTCCGAGTTTGTCGCTGCGAAGACAGCTAAGCAAACGATGGTGGGTCGTTGCACACGGCCAGACATCGGGCGGCACAAGCCCAGGCAATATGAAGGCCGGTCGTGTCGTCAGCTCTCTTGCGTGAAGCAGTCAGAGCTCCTAAACCAGTGAAATTCGATGAACGCGATCGATTACGAGTCTATCATCGGAATACGTCAAGACTGTACCGTTGGTTCAGAAAATTGGTCTGGCGTGTCTTCGTTGCAGCAGCGGAGGTATCCAGCCGACAACAGGGCCCGTGCGGGTGAGCTGGTAGGAACATCTCTCGTATTGAGCGTGATTGAGAAGCGCTTCTTGTTTGCGCGTTGGCCTTCTCTAAATGTAATAGACACTTTCTCCGGTAAGTCAACGCCCGACCGTTCAACTTACAGACTACGCGCGCTTTTGAGGACCACGCTGAAATTAGGTGCGGACATATCTTATGTACGGTTGGTGCTCTAGTAGGTGCGTTGCCTCAGTGTGTCAACACCAAGTAATATCGCCGGACATGGATAGGACTTAGGAGAGATTCAGTACGCGCACTTTACACGTCATATTTGGCGTGATTGGATTGGCCAATCTTACGAGAGATACAGCCAATGGGTTGGCCAGAATGTTCATCCCATGGAATAGGTTGCTTGCTACTAGAGTACTCCACTAACGTTCCTACGAGGACAAGTGCATACTAATAGTACCTGGTAGGCGTACCAGTTGCTGATTGACGTACGAGCATACGAGTAGCTTGTAAACTTACATGGGAAGAGCACGTATAGATCATTTTGCACGATGCAACGCAAGAAGACCTGATAAGGTCCGTGGCGCCAAGTCAAAGATCGAGATTCAGCAGACGATCACCATGCTTGCCTTTCGCTATCGGAGCCGCTGACGTCGGGACTGCCTGCGTGACGCCAGCAACCAAGCGTCATTTTCAGGAGAATCAAGGTTGCTCAACGGCTTGCCCAACTCGACGTCGACGAGTGCTATATAAATATTGCATGACAAATGAAAAATCAACGCATCCAGTCAATTTTAAAGCAAGAACAACAAAGGGTTCCATTCTCTCGTGGGTGATCGTTTTTGAAACGGACGAAAAATGCACGACAGGCATGACAACTGGATACACTGTACTGGTATGTGTCCGTCGAGTGGTTGTTCTGGCGGCTGTTTAATTGCAGAAAATACTTTCGAGCCGTTCCGACGCTCTTGATAGCGATGAGCGCGTTCGCCACTACCGCCTCTCTTCACCGCAAGAACGCAGCATGTCTACGTCGTCCAAGGCGAAGCATATACACATATATACCTAGCCTAGCCCTTTGTTATTTGAGCTCATCGCTCGATGGCGTGTGGTGCTTGGCGGTACGCACGCGTGGCCAGTCGACACCACCTCGAGAACGTATGTACCGATCCGCGACACGGAACTGTTACCGTAGTAGCTTGTTTCGAGCGACAGCAACGAGGATATGGATGATACCTAAATGATAGCTGCAGAGGCGGCAGAGAATACGAGAGCGATATGCACCTTGTGTACATTGCTGCTGGGCCGCACGCTGCTGTCCAATCTATAGCATCTGCGTGTACGTGCAGCCGGCGGCTCTACTTGGCGCCAACCGTCGCCGAACCTTGCGTTCCATTGCTTGTTAAGGCCATCAAATGCACCAGATTGGAGCACTCGTTTCGGTTGGGACAACTGCAAGTGTGCCTGGAGACAGTTTTGTGTCGTCGCTGGTGCACCCAGGATTTGCCAACAGCTGCACGTGCGCCACAATATGTCACGATCGCGTGCGACTGGCCTCCTACACCGGCACCACTGCGACCAGGCAACCTGCAACGTCGTCATTTTCACTTTGCACTTCCGATGCGCATGCTCGCAGCGTACTATGCGCTGCTGCTGGCGAGTGCTGTCGTCTCGGCGGCGACGCCAACCTGCTCGGCGATCATCGAAAATACGGATCTGCCCGGCAACGACATTGGCACGACCGCGCGCCCAACCGCCGACGGCTGCTGCGCCGACTGCGCAGCCACGACCGGCTGCAAGGCCTACGTGTGGGTTGCCCGCGACGGCGGTGTCTGTCTCCTCAAGAGCGATGCCGGCTTCAGCTACACGTACCCTGGTGCCCGCGCGTCGATTCTGACGCCGCCGCTCACGGGCTCGTGCCCGTCGACAGAAGCCGACACCGACTACCCTGGCAACGACCTCGGTCGCACGAAGCGCGCGTCCATCGATCTCTGTTGCAACGACTGCGAGGCGACGCCGGGCTGTGCGCGCTTCGTCTACTACGGCGGCGACTGCATCCTCAAGTCGGGCGGTGGTACCAAGAGCACGTACCCGGGCGCCATCGCGTCGACGTTCGTGCCGGCCAACACGACGCCTGCACCGACGCCGGCGCCGGGGCCCACGGCGCCGCCCGGAACGTGTGCGCCGATCCAAGAAAACACCGACTACCCAGGCTTTGATATTTCGCAGACGACGCAGGCGTCGGCCGAAGCCTGCTGCGACGACTGCTACGCCAACCCTAACTGCAAGGCGTTTGTGTGGAACCCCGCCGGCTACTGCATTCTCAAGAGCGGCAAGGGCTCCGTGTCCACATACCCGGGCGCCCGCGCGTCGACGATTCCGTCGCGGATCCCGCCGCCACCGACCATGATTGGCTGCAACCCGATCGTCGACAACATGGACATGCCCGGGAACGACCTCTCGCTGACGTACCAATCGGCGGCGGAAAGCTGCTGCGCCGACTGCACCGGCACGCCCGGTTGCCGTGCGTTTGTCTTCGACTCGGACGGCGGCGTCTGCTACCTCAAGACTGCGAGCGGTACCATGGTGCCGTCGGCGGGCAAGCGGGCGTCGGTGCTGCCGGTGGCCAACCCCGCGACGTGCACCGCGCTTCCAAAGGACATCGATTACCCGGGCAACGACGTCGCACAGACGTACCGCACCCAGTGGAGCGACTGCTGCCAAGACTGCGCCGACAACAGCGATTGCACCGTGTACGTCTGGAGCAACGACAACGGTGGCACGTGCTACCTCAAGAACGCCATGAGCCCGACCGAGTCGGCGCCTGGGTCGTTCGCCGGGTCGTACACCCGCATCATCAAGCCACCGCCGGTGCTGCCGCCGACGGCCCCGTCCAACGTCGTTGCCGGCGCCTACGGCACGTACCCGTCGCCGACAACCGCGTTTGCCTACCTTCCGAGCTCGCAATGGGTGCCACGGACGGAAGCCGGCGGGGTCGGGGTCGTGGATATTTTCAAGAATTTCTCGCTGCCGAGCTCGAAAGACATGGAGGACGCCCATAGTGGCAAGTTGCAGCCGAAGCGTGAGGCGGCAACCAACACGTACTACTTCCCGCTCGTGCAGTCGATCGGCGAGTGCGCCGTCATGTCGAGCAGCTCAGGCTACCACTTTTTCACGTACGTAGCGTCGACGCAGATCTGCATCGTGCACGATTTCTCGTCGGCCACGCCTTCGTACGCACTGCACCCGTCGCAGCCCGCCAAGGTGCTAACCCACGTCCCGTCGTCCGAATTTGTCCTTGGCGTCAACCCGTCGACGGCGTCTCTCGCCGCGTGCCAAGCAGCGTGCGGCAACCTCGCCACGTGTGCGGCCGTGACCTTTGCGGGCACGACCTGTACCTTCTACGGCCCCGCAGCGTCGAAAGCGGGTGTTGTCGCGGGCTGGGTCCACGACCCGATCAAGTGGAACGAAGTGCCCGGCTCGATGCAGTATGTCACGATGCCGCAGCGCACCGTGCCGTTGACGGGTGCGACGACCGCTGCGTCGACCACGTCCAAGACGGTCGCGGCCTGCGCGTCGGCGGCACGTGCAAAGTCGGTGTCGCTCTTCACGTTCGATACGGCCAAGAGCGCGTGCTTGCTCGTGACGCTGCCGAAAGCTTCGGCCACATCCACGTTGTACCTGTACAACTACCCGGCGTCGCCGCTCGTCCTTCCCGGCCAAGCGCTGCCAGCCGGTGCGACGACACCGGTCTCGGCGACATCCGGGACCGAGTGCCACAAGCTCTGCGTGCCGTCGAGCTCGGGCTGCGTCGGTGCGGCCTTTGACTCGGCCACGAAGAGCTGCGTTCTGCACCTCGCCACGTACGCGGCCTCGACGACCATCGGGTGGGTCGTGCCAACGACGCTGCCATCGTCGGTGGCGACACCGACCTCGGTGGAGTTTTACATCAACGCGCACCAGGACGACCACGAGCTCTTCATGGCGGCCAAGCTCTACGACAGCTTTAGCAAACCGACGGCCAAGATCGTCATGATTTACACCTCGGCGGGCGACGCCGGTGCGACCGACGGCTGGTGGCAGGCGCGCGAGCTCGGCACGTTGGCGTCATCGCAGACCTTTGTCAAGCTCTTTGGCTTGTTCTCGCCCGTGCGGAAAACGTCGACCGTCACGATCAACGGCCACGTCATCACCAAAGTCGTTTTGGGCAACGCGATCCACTACTTTCTCCGGCTCCCAGAACTCGGCATGATCGCGCTGCCGACCACGATGACGTCGCCCGTCGACAAGCCTGCCGAGTCGTACGCCAACATCGCCGCACTCCGAGCGACTGTGATCGCACTCGTCAAGCTCGAAGCCAGCGGTCGCAGCAACGTGGTTGTCAACTCGCAGCAGTTTGCCGACGTCGACCACGTCCTCCACGCCATGACCGGGCAGCTCGTCAGTGACGGCCTCAAGGCCGACGCGACGCTCAACAAGTGCGTGACACGCAACTTCTTTTGGGGCTACCAGCACTGGCTCGACTCGATCAACATGGTGGACCCGAGCTTGACCGAGCAGCGCAACATGTGGTGGGCGCTCCACGGCGCGATCGTCAAGCAGTACCCAGGCAGCTCGCCGTGGTACGACCACTGCCTCACGCTCGGTCGGCAGTACCTCGCATCGACCGTCGCCGGCACTGGCACGTGCTAGCCATGCGTATTAACATAATCTGAATGACAATTTTGTGTGCATTAGTTTGGGAGGCACTACAGCGGTGTTTGTACTAATGGACTCGAGTGCAGAGTGCAGTCGAGTACTGTACCCTCGTTGACACCATTCACGCCGTTGGCGTTTGGAGCACAACGGTCTTTCCTTCCGATGCATGACATGTTTTTGCCCAAGCGGGGTGTGCGTTGGGGCCGGCGCCAGAGCTACGTGTACTAGTTGTACACATTGGAACTACTCCTCTACGGCCGGAAATTCAGCCAAGTCCAACCCAGGCGGCTGAATTTCGATCCTAGTGGACCACACGTTGAGGCATACCACTACAGTACCATTCGCGCCGCAGGCGTAGGGAGCAGAAGGCTCTGACCCTCCGACGCTACCAATGACATGTCTTTGAGTCCTAGCGAAGTGGACATGACCGGCATGGCGTCGCTTGGGAGTTGAGGCTTCGGAATTCAGCCAAGTCCAACGCACGCGGCTAAATTTCGATCCAGGTGGGCCACATGTTAAGGCATAACATCGCTCATGCGTTGGACTCACGCGTCTCCGTAGGTTCATCCGAACAAATGGAATTGAGTGCCTCTGATGGTTTGAGAAACTGTTGTCGAGATGCGATACATGTAGTACATGCCATTATAACGATAACTATGGCGGCGTTCCAAATGCGCTCATGAGGCGTGGCCGGTGCGCCAAGCGAGAAGCGTTAGTCGTCGCGTCTCGGGGTTGGGCGAGGGACAAGGCAACACCAAGAAGGGTCGTCTCGGAGAGCGTTGAGTGACGCGTCAAACGATGCCACCACGGCGCGGGCATGCAGTCGTGTGAAAGTAGCTGCCTTGATACCGGAAAAAGCATTGAGGATACTGCGCCTAACGCTGGTTGGACACCCAGCCCTTTCAAGTCCATCTTCGTGTCCACATGTGACGAGGCGAGACCTGATCCGTGTCCCTTCCGCAAGAGACACACATCCCACGGCTTCTTGAATCGCTATGTATAGAGACGTTCATCTTCTCGTGGTCGACACTGTCTTGGCTACATGACGCCAAAGATGCGGCTCAGGCTTCGGCGCAACCGTGTTTAAGGGTTCAAGTAGTATAGGGTAGAAGGGTACATACCGGCATGTAGGGACTTGCAGTGTCGATCGTCGACTCAGATGCCGTCAACACATGTTTTTCATCCACCTTGCTGCTTGGCTCCCTGGATCGATGGATCGAGATCGGATCATTTTACCATTTGACAAGCCATGGGCAAGAACGAACCTACTCCCGCTGCGGCACCGCTGGCCGTGCCCGTGCCAAGCAAGGCACTGGACGGCGCGATCGCACCGCCATCATCTGCTTCTTCCAACGACGATCTCTCGTACATCGTCGACATGGAGGTCAAGGAGTCCAAGCTTTTTCTCGCCACGTGGACCACGCGGCAGATTGCGCTGACGACCCAGACGCTCGAGGTGCTCGACGGATCGAGATC